AGACAGACATCCGTATTTCAACTCTACTCGTCACCCTGATCACTTTGGTATATATAACCCTATATCTGACTCTTTTAGTTTTAGGACTTACAAACAACTGTTATGTGAACAAAACTATAATACTCTCTTTAGCAACTTTGTTGCGAGAGTATAAAAATCACGTATCACGTTCTTTGTCCGCGATGGACTCCTAAACTACTGAACCGATTTTAGTAAAATTTAGCACACTGTGTCCAGTTCGATCCAACTTAGAAGATAGGATGGTAAAAGACATTCATAAATAAAAAAATACAGTGAAAGCTCTATTAAGCGGACAACTCTATTAACTGGACAGAAAGGCTCTTAACCAGACATTGAGGAAGCAGCCTCAAATTCGTTATTTTTTCCAAAGTTATTTATTTGTATGAACGTATTCAATATTAAATCTCAACTAGAATCCCTTGGATATCTACAAAAGCGATTTCGCCTTTTTTCGTAAATAAAATATTCACTGTATTGAATAGTTTATAATCTGAATAATAGTATAAAATATATACCATAGCAACTAGTGGCCGGATCCACTAGTCTAAAATAAAGATACCGCTGAAGGATACGAAATTAAGACTCCCTTGAAAATGTAACATGAGTTTTGAATGAATCATGAGTTTTCAAGCCTCAAAGAGAGCCAATAGCTAAATTTCAAACAAAAATGTATAAAGATATATCATTAAAATTCAATGATAAAATACGCCTCATAAAAACATCTTGGAACATCCTGACTTTATTTTGCACATATCGGCCATTTTTTTCGTTATCTTTAAAATATTTAGAGAGCATCTCTTAATAATGACATTCTAATTGAGCCTAAATACGATAAAATCGGATTAATAATTCGCCTACCTGACATATGCTTCATTTTATGATTTTCAAACATTTGGTTGACTTTTACTAAAAGTATACACTTTCGGACGGTATCGTCTTAAATCAGTTGATAAGTTGAATTACCTAAGACTTATCTTTAGTATAAAACATTCATGGACTCCCAATCACATAGTAATTGTTATAGATGAGCTGCAGAGAAAAGGTGGGGGGACTCCGAGCAAAGCTGTTGTTTAGGCTCTGCGAAACCGTAGTCAAACCAATAATGTTCTATAGGGTATACGTATGGTGGTCACTACACACGTCAATTGCTTAGAATCTCGAATGTGTCCAAAGAACAGCTCCCAACGACATCTGCGGAGTAGTGAGGGCTACATTAGCTACATTAGGCTATATTAAGTGGTATTTATTTACTTGGACCACTGAATCGCACTGGTCAGTTGTGACGACTTTTTCTCTGCTAATATACCGACGGGGGTTATGTGGATGGGAAGAAGATGCTGAAGAAAAGGCGTAGTGAAGTTTTTCATGGATAGATCAAAGTTAGGGGGAAGAGTATTCAGTCAGGAATTCACCGATGTCCTTAGCTTTAGACTACCAGAGCATTGTAATGTTTTTCATGCAGAAGTGACTGCTATTAAGGTAAACGTACTGTTACAAAAAGCAGCCTCTTGCAGTGAGTAAAGCATTCACTCCAACAGTGGCAATGCAAGCGCTGAGCTCACTAACTGGGCGTCAAAAACTGTCTGTTCTCACTAGAAACAGCTACCATGTCAACACTATAGTCTAACTGGCCATAGCGGAATCGCTAAGAAAGCTGATGACCTTACCTTCGGCAGACCAGAAAACATAACCGAAACTGGCATTAGCCGATTCAAAAAATTGTCAATAGTCTCAAAGCGGTTTGTCAATTTGTAAGGGTCTTATGATCCATTATACTGGAGATTTCAGGTACGAAAACGGACCAGAGTTCCATGCTGTCCAAGCGTGATCTCTGTTTGGAGCGACTTCTTAACCTTACATAAGAAATTTTTTAGAATACTATAGATCAATCTATGAAATATTTTAATAAAATGCAAAAAACGTCTTTCCGTGATTATAATATGCACTGACGCCATAAAATCGGTTAGTATTTCTTCTATACCTGATATAAGGATTTGAAGACTTCTGGTTGGATTTATATCGCATCCGCATACCGGTCAATATTTGGGATATTTTAGCAAAATTTAGTCAATGTTTAATTTTTGTTAAACTAAAGTTAGGTCCAAAAATTTATGAGTTCGTCAATAAATTATCCTCCTATCCCGTATATAGTGCCTTATTTAATGATTATCGTTATTCTGGTGAACTCTATGTCGAATATTTCAGTCAAGTTTTGAGTATTATTAATATAATTTAGTATCGATTTGTTCTTCTGGGTTCTTGAGTTTAATACTAAAGGTAAATGAACACGGTCTCAATCGTATTTTTGCTTTTATTATTTATTAAGTTCGCAATAAATACAATAAGTCACGCTACTTGTCCCAAGAGAGAAATTTGGAACTTGTTTACCTCATATTTTCATTTCTTGCCAACAAATAAAGAATGAACGAAGTAACCAACATTTCGTGACTGCCACTCAAAGAAAATTTAATAAAAAAGTAGAAAAACTTAGCATTTTAACTAATTATTATTTCTCTTCCGCTTTCTTCACTACTCTTCCACAGCGATGATTTGTTCGCGGATCAACTGTACATGGACATCGGACTCTCCAATCGGCTGCTCCACATAATGGCCAACTCAACAATATTCGCATCGGTTATATCGTATAAAAATTTAAAAAGTTTTCTACCAAAAACTTACTACACACGCGGCAGGTAAGTTGCACAAGCACGCACAGTTACCTAGTGGCCATAGAAGAATATGAACTGTAAAGATGAAGTTGTGTGAAATGAACGTAGTAATGACCGAAAGTTAGCAAAATGTCTTCAAACTTTGGCTTCAAGCTTTTAATTTCATGACAGCAATTTCGTAGTTTCGAATATATACGAAAGTAAAGAAAAATGGAAAGTTTTTGCTAAGCACAAAGCGATATGACAATTCATTAGTGAAAGTAAGAATGTAAGAAAGGTGAATTGAAGCGTATTTACCGTTAGACGTAAAAATATATGTACATAAATGGTCAACTCTGGTGCATAAAAAGAGCAAATATATTCGAAAAAATTTGTTTTCCACAAAATAGCTCAACAATCTGGAGCAAATAGTTTATTTACAGAAATACATACACTTATTTATACATATTAAGGTGTCTTTTATTTTCCAAGTTACCCTATTTTTGCAAGTGATCCTGAAAATTTAATTTTTTGCCACAAAATAATTATTCTAAGTAAAGCAGCTCATTATTTTCGATGCAAACTTTGTCCGAAACATAGTTCTTCTCCCAAAATTATAACATGAAATTTTTGGATATTTCGCATTAAAAAACTGCAGGCACAAGTTTGAACGTATGATTTTCTATTTTAGAATTGTATGCTCTACAAAAAAGATCATAAAGATTTTTTTCATAGAACTGCTACTTTAGAAGTTATACGCAGTTAAAGCTATACATCAAGTGAACTGAGCATTCATACAAGTGCTTCATGCATTTTGTGTTGCTCATACGACATGGTGTACTATATGAATACATTACATTTGATGCATAAACTGAACTGCAAATAACTTTTAAAGGAAAAATTCAGAAGAGATGTGCAAAAAATTGGGCACCCTAATATATATATATTATATAATATAAATAACTATATATTTATATATATACATATATACATATATATATATCTACTAAAACCACTTGGCTGCGGCATAAACAAATCTGCTCAAATATCAAAATATTTTCTGGTTGCCATGCCAGTTAATATCTTATAACATTTCATTGCACTCGTTGCTTTTGGTGCTGCTGTTGTTGTTCGTGTGCTCTTCGGAGAGTTCCTACTGATTAAAAAGTTTTGTCCGAACACAGGCGCACCCAAACGATCACAGTCCTGCCTTAAGTTTTTGACATTTTCTGTGAAAACTTTCAACTTTCGCCAAACTAAGTGCCACTACTGCAACAACGACAACAACAACAACATGCAGCATAAATTTGATTTTATTGATTTTCCATGGGGTAATGCGATAGCCAAATGACTTAAACTTGTGCGCATAACTTTATAAAAGCGATTGAGAAGCAGCATCAGCATGAAATTTATTTAAACTATAGGGAAAAAGCGCAAAAAAAAACGAAATCAAAAACAATTTTAAAATTGTCAAATTTAAGTAAACGACCGCTCAGCTGTGCACAGCATTAGCGTTGTGCTTGAGAGTGGTTACTGGACCATGGCTGCGTAGCTTAGGTATATATATATATGTGTGAGTATATAGAGCAACTAATGCAGTTTCGAAAGTCATTGCAAGTACTTAGTACTCGCAAGCGAAGTCGCCATATTTTTATAATTTTTAGTGTTCAAAAGTTGAGCGAAATTATGTGAACGTAAATAGCCTTATTTGCTGAGAGACCTTATTAGAATCAGGTTGAAATATATTAGTTATGAATTTGTCGTGGAAAGAAAGTGAAGAAAGAGATTTTACGTATTTGATTAGTCAACATTTTTGAGACATGTGTTCCTTTTAAAAACTTAAGCACTTAACAGAATTGTATATACAGGGCGATGTCATCCACCGTTTACATTAAAGGAAACGTTTACCATTCTAGCGCAAACGTATTTATCGATTCGATTTGCACGCAGTGTACATGGACCAACCCGGATCATATATGATCCTGGATGTGGATATATAAATTGTAACTTCTATGCTGCTTTTGACTGAAAATTATCATTCTGTTTGTGGCGTGAGAGACGAGAAAGACCTAATAATAAGAATTTGATCTATATGTTTAGTACAGAAAATCCCATCTGCTACTAAACTCCATTTTAATAGCGAGAACTCTTTCTTTGGACCAGCATTTGTATCACATGTGAAAAAAAGCACGTGTGAGCAAGCTCCTTTAACAACTGCTCTCGAGCAAAAGTTTGATCGACTGGTCACTAAAATTTCAGGACTTAGTGATTTTAAGCAGATTTGATTTTTTTTTTTTTTTTTTTTTTTTTTTTTTTTTTTTTTTTTTTTTTTTTTTTTTTTTTTTTTTTTTTTTTTTTTTTTTTGGAAAAGCAACCTACACCGTCAATCAAGCAGGAGTTTCCACCTTAACCTACAAATAACTGGTAACATTATACAATACAGGGGTTTCCAATTTAAGTGATATGATTTCTTATCAATTCTAACATTTTTTTATTTTGTGAAGTACAACGATACAATTATGATCTCAATATAACATCATTAAAATAGCCTCCACGACTTCTTTTACAGGAACGAATTCTATGAACCCAATAACTTCAAATAACCCCAAAAGGAATAGTCTAATAAATAGTTAAATCACAACTTGTTGGAGGCCATTAAATTTCACAATTTCTTGAAATAATCGAAATCGCAAACTTTTCTTACAATAATTCTGTTGCGGTCTACGCCGCTCATTTCGAAGAAAGTATCTAACTGTTAATTTAGGTGAATTTAATGGTTGTTCATAAATCATTTATGAATTTTCTGTCCAGTAGACAGCTTTCTAAATTTACTGCATCATTCAGATAAAACTGAGCCTCATCGGAGAAGATTGATCATTAAAGGTCAATATTCAAGTTATTCCAAGGCGAAATTGGCAATTTCACGAAGTTTACGGTAGTTCAATGGCTTCAGTTCTTGAGTGGGAACAATTTTATTAGGATACAAGTACAAACTCTTTCTCAAAACCCGCCAGATTGTGATTTGAGAAAGTTCCAACTGTTGAGAACGTGTTGGAATCGACAAATTGCGGACTTCAACAATATTTGCTTGAACGGCAGCAATATTTTCATTACTTCGAGCGGTTCTTTGTCTTACTTGCTCTTGAACATTATGTAAAGAAAGGATACGCTTGGAGTTTCGAACAACTCGACGAATAGCGGTTACATTTTGACAATTATTGCGACAAAAATGCGGAAAGCGTATGGAAAGTGGCAATCGGAGAACGATTATTTTGATAATAAAATTGAATAATTTTTAAATGTTGTTCTTTCGTATATCTTGATAACATTGTAGACATTACTGAATACATTGAAATAAAAATTACAGATCATAATATATTAAAAATGGGCGAAGCGAAACTTACACATAATATCATCCCTATTGGAAAACTTGATATGTTCCTAAAAATGAAATATTCGTAATCAAAGAAATGTCATGAGTGGATCAAAGGCATAAATGAAAATCGCTGAAAGAACTTAAAAGGCATCCTGAACTATCAAGAGAGTGTGATAAATTGCATTACTCGTTATCAGAGGCATATTAAATGTGAAGGAACGATATATATCGTATTAAAATTGGGCCGACAATACATATTCATTAATAATATAGACTTTTAAGAACTTGCTACTGACATATAACCAAAGCTCCTCTTTGTGTTTCTTAATGCACTGAAAAATGTCAAAGTCTATTAACTCTAAGTGAGACACAAACAAAAACTTGTTATTTACATATGCGAAGAGAATAAAATGGTAGCTGTATGCGAGTTTTCTGTTTATATATATATAAATAAGGTAGTCAAGGTCAATAGCTTTCTCAGCAAAGAAAATACCAAGCTAAGTTAAATTTTTAGCAATAGGACAGTATAAACTATAGTACATCTAAAAATGGCTAAATTTTGACACTTCTATTTCTCTTCTCTTTCCTTCGCTAAACATTCTCACATATGTCATATACTCATATTTACACCGCATAAATATACATTACTGTAACTAAATTTAAATATTTTTGGACTATTAAGCTCAGGATAATGTCAAAAGATTTTTGAAGACTATCTAAAAATCTTCAAAATAATTAAAACAATTCGTAAATCCAAACACAATTGTAAATAAATATGTTTTCATTTTATTTTATGTGTACTGGTACCATCTGATCAAATAGGACTCGGACTACATAAACTTAACATTTATTTTTGACCTGTTCTGACGTGATTTCTCGACTTCACCTCATCTTTGCCACGAATTCGGCCGATTGATAGTCTTAATCTGGGCGATAAGCAAAAACCTAAGACTTATTGGCAGTAATAAAACGTTTAATGAAATCTTAGTAGTTGAAAAGCATTGATTCACAGACGTTAACGCCAATTAGAATTTTTTGCCCACAGAAGGACATCAAACCCATCATTTCTGTTAACGAGCTGTTTGTTTATAGATATGACTAAACTGTCCAACAATCGAATCGTGCTGCAGCAGAAACCGAAAACACAACGTCAAAGTCGATCCAAGTTCTAATTTTTAATTCGTTCGACAAGGTACAGACGGTCAATAAGAAATATTATTTGGCCATATGCAAGAATCTATCTTCAGCAATTTGTCGCAAAAGATCGGAAATTTTGGTAAAAAATGCACATACTTTTCGCCACGTTAATGAACCTTCACATTCACATTGTACCACACATACATATGTTCATATATAGTTAGTTCCATGAAACCTTTTGGAGTTTTCGAAACTAAAAACATTCACTTCGGCAAATGCGCCATGAGTCCATCGAAGCCACTGAAGGCTATCACAACGAGGCTATGATAAATTCGCATATTCTGTTTATATTATCTTGAAAGAAACTTATTTTGAAGGCGATAACAAAGCATTGTTCTACAATACCTGAAAATTATTTTATATTAGTTTGTCAAAAAAGTCTTGCGGTATTTTCGCCAGTTGGCGCTGAGAGCGCGTAGTTCTAGTTTTCTTCGACGCATCATTCCCTTTTTGGAAAGCTCATTCCACGCGCTAACACGTGTTTGATTGATTGTCGTCTCTTTTAGGTCGTTCGTGAGTTATAGCGTCGCAAACATGGAGCAAAATAAAGAGAAAATACGCCATATTTTACAGTACTACTACGATGAAGCCAAAAATGTATCTCAAGCTACCAATAAAATTTGTGCAGTTTATGGACCCGATACAGTTTCCATTTCCACCGCACAACGATGGTTTCAACGTTTTCGTTCTGGTGTAGAGGTGGCCGAAGATGCGCCACGCTCCGGAAGGCCTGTCGTCCAAAATTGCGATAAAATCGCGGAGTTGGTCGAAAGAGACCGGCATAGTAGCAGCCGTAGCATCTCAAGAGCTGGGCATGAGTCATAAAAAAAAAATTTTATGAACAATTGAAAATTCAATATACCGCAAAAATACCGCAAGACTTGACAATCAGGAAAGGAGGTTAAAATCCGTATATCAATTTACTCATAGCATCTTCATATTGTGTATCTACTTAATTTCATATGCTCTTGCCTTTGCAACTAGAATTTGTAATCGATAAAAGTTTAATAACAAAAACCGTTTATCAATAAAAATATCGAAAAAGAATATTTTTCAGGGCAAAAAAGCGCTTCGCTTCAGTCAACCCAAAAATATTGCATTAATCTGCAAAAAACAGTATCTAGACAACTGAAATCAGTCCAGTTAAAGGAAGCGCATTTGCCAATTTGATGCCACTAAATTAACGCTAATCAGTAAATGTAATCAATCAGGCGCGCAACCCATCAGCCACGCAGGCAATCAACCAATCAGACCCGAAAACAGAGACACATCAAATCAAGCAAAAGCAGATCGAGTCGGTGTGTGTGTTTGTCAGACACACTGCTGCATACACTTGCGAATAAATCAAATCGAAAAACTTCCAACGCATTATGCAAAGCGATTTTTATTGTTGTTGCTGTTGTTGTTGCCTTTATATGGCAACGTCAATCTGCCAATGCGCTGCCTGCAAAATGCTTACAATTATTTTTTGCCACGCAAATGCGAGCGGGTTTTATAATGAATTTTGTGCGCTGCGAATATAATTTGCGGGAATTCACCGTTATTTCACTGCTTGCCGGCTATCAGTGCAGTGTAATGCTGCAGGCTGGCAAGCAGCTCTCGAACGATGGCAAATATTCAGCCGATGAATGGCAGAGATATGGATTTACTGCTAGATGCAAATGGATTTTTGTGCACAGACAAGCATACAAACATACATGGACACATGGACACATACAAACATACATGAATAAATACATACATACATACCTACCTACTAACAAACATACATACATATATACATATGTACAGATATTTATATATATTATATAAAGACTGTGTGCATTGCGTGCGACTGCCAGGCAAAAATCGGTTACGTAAATAATGCTTTGAACTGTATTAAGAAGGAAAAATATTGTCGAATTGCTCAAATTGCGAACTTGTTAATTTTATGGTGAATTTTCGGTGATTTTCATGAATTTTCATGAAATTTGCAAATTGGACACCCACGCATGCTTACATAATTATAAACTTACACACATGCAAGCTGCATACAAACATGCATATACATATATGCACATATTGCATAACGCACACAGATTTTTATTAGTTATTGCTGCTTTGGCTTTTCTGTGTTAATTAAGTTGTTTGGGTAAGCTGCAGCAACACCAACTTGTTGCATAAGCAATGCGCTTAGTAACTAGGCGACCATTTAGTAGACTGCGTGGAACTGATCTAATTATGCAAGCGGTAGTTAGTTAAAAGTTTTTTTTTCTCAAACACAAAATCTGTTATTTGTCATGTTTACTTAACAATTAGTTTGAAATATCGCAAAAAAATAAACCAAAAATTTTTAGCTCATATATGGTATATTTCGTAGATAGAAATCATCTCTATACAAATAAGAGTGAACAAAAATATTGAACTAAATACTGATAAAGAGCTCTTTTCGTCTACAATATCTTAAATTTGTCCTTAGAGGAAAGGCTTCTGGGCACCTAAATTCTAAAAAAATCACTTGAGCAACCGAAAAATGTTCAAAGAACAGAATATTTTACTGAAATGCAAAAGAGCTCATTTGCAATAGTTTTAGTCTTTAATTGGTCCGATTAAGGCATGTATATCAAGGTTAAGACCATTTTACCGCTTTTTCGGAGGGGACTAATTTGGGGTATTTCTGTAAGAGGAATAAAATCAGTTTATATAAGAATTATATTGTATAATGGATCGACCTGAATAATTTTTCGAACATTTTAGAATTTCCTTTGAATTCAGTTCTTTTCAAAATTTATGCGGGTATCTTGTCGTTAAGAAAGTAAGAAAGTTTTGCTGACAAGAACTCGATAGCTCAAAAACTGAGCGATTGGTTCGCGTAGTTACAGACATAAAAGAATTCGTCACAACTCATTTTCTTTTTTCGATTCAATATAGTAACAATTATAATTACTTCAGTTTTAAGCAAGTTTTCCATTAAAGTTATTTTTAAAAAGAGTAGCCATTTGTTTTTAACTTTACAAGTTTTTTAACTTAAACAAATTGATGAGATAAATACAATTTTACTTTAAGTGGATTTTATACTAGTAAATGTTTATTGTTGTAGTATTTTTGAATTATAAAATCTTTTTAAATACTAGACTAAGCATAGATATATTAAATCCTGCTCTGCAAACTCTCATCTAAATATTATTTGAATATTATAACCAAACATTGCAAATGTAATCGAATATGATCGAAATCAAAACTGTAAATACATGAGACATGCATAAAATATTAGTATAAAATACATTGAGCTGAGCTACACTCAGCTTCTGGTCCACATTAACCAACTAAAATTAAAAAATATTTTTCATCAGCAAATAATTCCAACTCAGAATTATCCGAATAGAGAAGAAACAAAAAAATTATTTGCAAAATTTCGCCTTTTAGAAATTTTAAAAATTTATTTTACAACAAAAAAGTATAGTATAGACATCACAAATGCCATAATAGGCATACAATATGTAAACCGAAAATATTAAAATTCAAAAAACTTCATGACACAAATTATAAAAAAAAATAATTGAACATTAATGTGTCTAATATCGAAAATAAACCTAAAAATTAAAATGCAGAAATGGTCACAACAACAATTCAAGACTATATTATGAATATGGATAGTGGAATGAAGCTTATGTAAAAGCAAAATTTTAAATTATTGAAATACAAAACTGAATTTATATTAAAATTGTTTACTTGAAAAATATGATTTAATTATAAAAGTTTCTACTTTTTTAAATTTTCACACAGCGATCCCAAAGAGTCCGACTACATTCTGGCCTCACGCATTCTACAAACATGGCTCTTCCAATCGAACCGCTCCAACGATAATTTACGTGAACCACTCGATTTACCATTCGAGGCCGGTCATGTGGAGATCATATTTCAACATGAGGTAGCACCAAAGGAGGGCGATTGGGTGGCCGTGTGTGGGTGAGTAAAATTAAATAAAATTATTATTTGAAATGCTAATAATTTGAAATTTTTAATTTCTTAAATTTACTGGAAAGAAAGAGTAGATAAAATGGGGCAATACTACTCTCAATTTCTATATTTTCCTGAAGAAATTTCTCGAAACTAGTTCTTGCTCTCTTCTGGTATTGATAGCTATGATAGGATACTTGAAAAATCTTAGATCGTAAACAATTCACTTTATGCCTCGAACATGATAAACGCGATGAAAATTATTTTTTATATTGCATGTTCCTCTCTTCATTGAATTAATGGAATTAATTGCGTGCGACACACGCAGGAAGTCTCAAATTCTATTGGTTCTTCTTGGTAATGTTTTTGATTTTATTACACCCATACATGTGTACTTTGTTTTGAGAAAGCTGATTAATATTGAATGAATGTGTAGACATAATACCTTTTTCTTGTTATTATTTTTGCAGTCATGACTACAAAGCTTCCTTTGAGTCAACTTGGCGCTCGGATTTATGCATCACCAAGCATCTGATGGCGAATATAACGCGCTGTATATGTCCATTGTCCGGCACATACGTAGTCATGCTTACGAAACGTAACAACAATGTAAGTAACCATGATAATTTTTTGAAGAAGACGAGAGGAACATAAGAAAGTGTTTATACAAAGTTCTGATAGACGCGAGGGTTTTTTAATTAGAATACGAGTTTAAAAAGAAGATACAAAGAAACGGAGGAGATTAAAAAAAATATTATTAAACTAGCATAGACAGACTTCAAAGTTGTTGATGAACAGCGAAACTCATATAATATCAACATCAATATAATTTCACACAACTCTGACACATAAATAGTCAATGTTGTCTTACAACACATAAGTCCTTGAATATGAACACGAAGCATAACGAATTAGACTGAAAAGTTAGTAAATGAGCACATCAAAAATTTAGGTTAAAGATAAACAGCTGTGTGTTAAAACAAATAGCAAAAAATCCCAGAAAAAAAGTGCAAAACAGGAAAGCAGTAAACCTCGAAAAGAAAAACCGACAAAAATGAACTAAAATTACACAGCCCGAGCTTAAATTATGATAAATATAACAACGCTCTTTATGCGATGCACTGCCCTCTCGCGGCAGCGCTGGCAACCAGAAATCTTCTGGTTGTTACTCCCACACATAGCGAAAAAAACTTTGTCAACCGGCCGCTTTAAGTTTTTGGGTTAAAGTGGCATAAAGTCGTTGCCACATAATATTGACTGCCACGTTTTTGAAGTCAAGGACAAATACTCAACTAGAAATAGAATGACTACATTTGGTATATTGGAGTTAAACCAGGAAAGTGTAGAACAAGGCTTCATTTCCAACTAAAAAGATAAATATGGGATATTTTACGCGATAGTAGGCGTAGGAAAATTCTGGAGGCTTTCAATGTGAGTTCAGCAAGTTGAGTGATATTAAAAATACGCAACTGAAATTCGAGGATTAAGCAGAGCGCAAATTATATTGAGTATTGAACATAGTAATAGTAATATCGTAGATGGAATTGAGAAAATAGCAGAAAAAAAATACAATAGATATAATACATAGAATGAGAAATATAATCGTAGTATAAGTACTGTACAACTTTGTGATTGCAAAACATAGAATATATAATATATCATATCTAACATAGTATATAGAACATCAAATGCTGAGTAGGACACGCAGTTTGTATAATTTAAGTAATATAGAATATGGAATGAATGGTATAAAAGAGATTGATCATAAATTGTAGATTATAAATTATAATATGTGGAATATACAACAAAAAATGTAGAATATCGCGTTGCAAATTTCTAAAAAAATTTAGTGAGAGCGAAATGAAGAGTACTGAATAAAATTTAGGAGTTAAAACAGACATCGAATATTCAGCATAAAGCACAAAGCTAACAACATAGAATATATCATGGAAAATATAGAGGACAGATTATGTAGCACAGAGTAAATTATACTTAAGATATTTTGCAGAATTTAGAATGCAAACCATGAACGTAGGACGCAGAATATAAAAACAGGAAATAAAACATATCGAATTCAGAACATCGGATATAAAACATAGAACAAAAAGTTTTGATTAAAATCAGATAGATAGATCGTTTGGATGAAATAAAACATAGAACATAGAACATAAAACATAGAATATAGTGCACAGAATTTTGTGTAAAATCATTTTCAATAAACAGAAGGTCTGTACACCTCATTTGTGTAAAAGTTCAGAACATCGAACGTAAAACATAGAATGTAGAAAAAAGAAATTTGATTGAAATCATTTTCAGAAAGAAGGGTTGTGTACCTCATTTGTTTAAGAATAAAATATAGAAAATCGATACTCTACTGGCGATTTCAGAATACAGAAGTTGCATGTTCGAAAACTCATGCGTCAAACATATAACATAGCATATAGTACTAAGAATTTTAAACTACACTTTAATCAAATATAACAGTGATGTACTTCAAAAAAGAATATGATATATGGAACATCGAACATAAAACATAGAATATAGAAGCTTTGGTGACACTAAATTTAAAAATAACAGCTTTGTACTTCAAACTAAAGAACATGAGCCATCGAATATAAAGCATTGAATATAAAACATAGAACTTAGAAATTTGAATTTTGAACTGCAACTTATACAAAAACGACAACTACATATGCATTTGCTCACATTAGAATATAAAACATGAACCAACAAACATAAAGCATCTGACATATAACATAGAATTTTGCATTTTGAACTACAGCGTGTTCAAACACAGCAATTTAGAATATAAAATATCGAACAACGAAAATAAAGTATTGAATATAAAATATAGAATTTTGAAAAACAACAACAATTTTGTGCTTTTGTGTATTTGAAATATAATAATGTTTCATCAGATACCAAAAATAGTATACATACATACATATGTATATAGCATTTTAAATAAAACCGAGAACATAACACATAGAATTTAAATTTAAAATTTTTTATCTCAAAGGATAAAATATGAACACGGTACCCGAAATTTTCAAATGGAACTAACAATGAAAATAAAACATAGAACTTAAATTTAATACTTTACACTTAAAAGGATTAAATTATAACACGTTACGCTAAATTTTTACAGTAATATAACATTTAAAATAAAACATAGGAAGTCGAGCATGGAGCATAGAATTTAAATTTAAAATTTTGTATCTCAAAAAATAAAACTAGAACACGTTACGCATAAGTTTAAAAGTTTTTACAAACTACCTGATAAGCTACCCCATATGTGCTAATTCACCAACCTTACATTAATATTATTAAACCACTCACAGCATAAGTAAAACAACCACGCTGAATACAAATGAAAAGTGAAAGCATTAAATCCTTTCGTTACCGCCAAAATTCATGATTTATGTATTTTAATGGTGCGTATGTGTGGGTATTGTATATTTGCAGCTAAGCCACATCACGCGTACACATGTACATATATATGTACACAGCCATTAAGTGGCCTAGACCATGCACTCGCTGCAAGGCAAGCCGAAGCACGTAATGCTCAACGCTAAACTAGTGCCAGCACAAACAAACATATTAACTCGCTTTTTAGAGATTTTCATTTTAAAATACTCGCATGTACTTATAACTACACTAATGTGCATGTATGTATGTGTGTGTGTGTGCGGCTTATGAGCACTTCCTGATTTAGCCACCAAGAAGCCAACATTGCAGTTCGCTTAGCAACAACAGCAACAATGTAAATAGCACTACTCAAAAATTCAGCTCACACAAATTTACTTGAGCCCAGCTATGCCACAGCAACACGCTCGCCGCCCACTCGCTCAGCTGCTTTTTGGTTTACACTGTATGCGGCGAGCGCCTTTTTGTTGTTGCTGGCCTTCATACTAACTTACTTTCGCTTTTTAGCCTTTAGCCTTGGCAGTAGCCGGCATAAAAGCTCATAAATTTTAATGCTTATTTCCGCTTCCTTAAATTTCAACTTCACGTACCAACACACACACACACACAAACATAGCCCCCACACTTGCCAGGCACATTTATGGCTTTGACTTGTATTTGTTTTATGAATTTTAAAGCAACAACAGAAATATAAAAAGTAGCACAAACAGCGACAAAAAATATAAAAGTAATGTGGGAATACGCATAATAAAACAACAACAACGTTGTCTACTTTAAATTCACATTTCATTTTTATTCTATTTTCTTCATAACCGAAAACCGAAAGCGAAATTGAATTACCAAGTGAGTTATCCCAAATTGCAAATAATACACAAACAAAAATATATGAAGATAGCGTGTTAAAGTAACGGAAAAATTAAGAATAAGAGGCAGTAAAGTTTCTTGGAAAATATTTTCTTTTTTAGGGAAATACATGCACTTCAGTGGAAAGTTTGTATAGTGGCAGCCTTACAACCTAACCTAAAAGTTTTTTTGTTGAAACTGCTTTTGAAATCTTTTCAATGTTATTCAGAAACCTTATTTATTACGACTCTTGATATTTCTGGTTACTTTTTAAAGAGTCTACATGTATTAATATTTAGAAAATTTATTGAAAATTAAAAATGCGTTTAAAAAGAGAGTTTTATGACTCAGTGTGGTATATTTGTGTTACAATCTGAATAATAAAACTCAGAGCGCATAATGTTGAGATATTTTCATAAGAAGAATCTTATGTTATGTAATATACTTATACCAAGTGGGGCAGACCAGGTTAGGTTAGATCGTAGAGCCATCAGCATGACTTATGGGATCACGCTGAGACTATAAGGTTTGTCCGAAAAGTAAAAGGACTGATTTTTTTCCACCGGGTCTGTACTTTGGAGCGTGCGCGCACGAGCGGTTGGTCAGTTGTCTCCGAAAACCTGGAGAGTCAGGACAAATATTTTCGCGTTTGTGAGTGATGCAAGTCAAAAATGCAGCGTTGGTTAAAGCAGAAGTTCGCGATTGAATTGCAACGAGTGGAAGTGTGCCAAGAAAATTTTAACATGTGTGAAAGTGACCCGCAATTTTTGAATAACGTAATCACAAGTGACGAGTCATGGATCTTTGAGTATGATCCCGAGGCAAAGAGATAATCTTCCGAGTGCCACACGCTGGCGTCTTCTCGCCCAAAAAAGAGAGAATGAGCAAATCCAACGTGAAAACGATGCTCATTGCCTTTTTTGACATCAAAGACATCGTCCACCATGAACTTGTTCCTCAAAGACAAACCGTCAATGCTAAGTTTTACGTGGAAGTCCTCAAGAGACTCAAACGAATTGTCAATCGAGACAATGAGACAACAGAGCGGCGCTTCAAGCAGCATGCACCTTTACTCTCAATGCTTGAAAATCACGCTGTCACCGCTGCCAGCCAATTTTGAAATTCAATAAATTTCTTTAAATCGACTCAGTCCTATTACTTTCCGGACAAATCTATGTAAAGTCTTTTATGGAGCCAGATGAAAACTTCTTGCGTTTGCAGATCAGTTATCGTCAAAATCGCACTAAACCTATCAGAAAACTGTTTACGTGTTTGGTTTTATTACACCTTTTTCCACTATTCACTTGAAAATTGAATATTGCTGAGAAGGACTTTACTACTGTAAACCAGCGGTTGTTGATCAACGCTTGCTGTGCTGGTCTTAGATCCAGCGGTTAAGTTGTAAACTACAATACAAGAGCCAACGGAGCTCCTACTCATTCCCATTGCGCAGTTATTGAGATTGAAGTACCAGTCGTAGCAAGCTCATCAGCGTTACAGTTTCCAACAATACTGGTGTGGGCAAGAATCCAAACGAGTCTAATCATAATATAACTTAAGGGTAGAGATAAAAAGACATCCTTTCACTATTCTTGAGCGCATAGTTAGCGAACTCAAAGCTAATATCGCTGCTAGTCTATCACCACACCAGAGGACACTATGCTCCCGAGCACTATATCTACTGCTGATTTACGGCAGCTACCTTTGCTTGGAAGACGCTGCATTAATCGGGAAGCCTAAAATTGTTGATGGTTCGTTCCCGACACGCTAACTTCCCAAAAACAGCCGTTGTGCCAGAAAACATCGATGCCGTATGTGAACTGATAATGCAAGACCGTCATGTAACATACCTTCAGATAGAGGCATGCCTATGCATCTCTCCCACCAGCTGCTTTCGATATTGCATGAACACCTGGCCGTAAACAGGTTTGTTCTCGTTGGATCCCGCACAATTTGACAATCGCTCAAAAAAAGGCTAGTGTGGATTGGTGTAAAAAAATGCTGAAAAAATACGATCGCGGTGCTTCAAAAGACGTTTATAAGATCGTAACAGGTGACAAATCATGGATCTATGCGTATGAGCCCGAAAAAAAACAGCAATCGACCATGTGGGTCTTCCAAGACGAGCCAAATTAAACGAAAGTTGTTCATGGAAGAAGCACTTCGAAGTAAATGGTCGCCTGTTTCTTCGGCAAAACTAGTCATATGGCGACTGTTCCGCTAGATCAACGTAGGACGGTCAATTCTGAGTGGTATACCACCATTTGTTTGCCTGAAGTCTACGGAGAAATTCGAAAAACGAACAAGAGAAGACGAATCATTGTGCACCATGACAATGTAAGCTCTCACACATCGGCTCAAACCAGCTCCTTTTTGACCGGCCAAAACGTCGAATTGATGAGTCATACGCCGTACAGCCCTGACTTGGCACCCAACGATTTTCGTCGCCAGAAGATGCTGTTGGATCATTCAAAAACCATGTTTTGGAGGTGTCTCAATCGGAGTGGAAAAGTGCTTCGAAAATTGGTTTGAGCGGATGCAAAAGTGTATAAATCTTGATGGAGAATGTTTTGAAAAACAATAAAACCATTTTCGTTGATAAATATTCCTATCTTCATTATTAGGCCAGAAATATATATAGCAGCCCTCGTAAAATAAATGTGAAAGAAGTGACATGGGAATAATTTTTCTCAGATCAATCAGTTAAACTTATTTGAAAAAATTTTGTTTAAAGAAAACCGCGTTGAAGGATAAACTGATTCAATTGATGGAGCTGAATGAGCTAAAAGGCTACACTTGAAACAGCTGTAATACAAAAATTACTTGAAATGTCCATTTAAAACTTTAGTATGTTATTTTCAAAGAACTAACCTCTCCATAGCTAAAACAAAATATTTTAATTTCAGACAAAGTGGGTCTCTTAATAACTCCTAAAGTTCTTCTTAAATAATTTTTGTAATCCAGTTATCAAAAACTAAAATTACAAAATAATATTATTTAAGCATATACGATTTCTTTATTTAAATATGTTTTTAAATATAAATTTAAGTTTAAGCAACATTTTAAATTAATCTTTTTTATTCTAAATATTTCCCACACAATAATTGGTTTATTTGCTTAATTGCTTTCAGTCGCAACCCGTTTCACCCACACAACGCCCACTCTTCGTGATAATCAGCTGCGCTTGTGGTTTACTGCAGTCCTGTTCGGTTTTTCTCATACTTCTACCGATTTGGTTTAACCGCAAATGTGCAATAACTTTTTTGAAAATGCAATTTTGTGTCTCCACATCAAGTATAATGATCATTTTTCTGCTGGGGTTCCTGAAAATGTTGCCAGAGGTGAGTATTTATATATAAATATATCTTTTTTTGATTACATTGCTAGTTTTTTATAGTACAATCCAAACAAAAAATATGTTTGTAATGGAAAAATTGATGAAGACTTCTAAATCTTACCCAACATTTTCATTGCTTGAGAGTCCGGGAAATAAATTTTAGATATTATTTGTTGTAGTCTTAATTGGCTTTCAGAGACTTAAGTGCTGCTAAAATATGACATATATAAAATAGACTAGGCAATTGCAAATACATATACTCAGGGCGGAGAGAAAAACCGGGTTCAGTCGTAAAAAGAGGCCAGCTTTGCAGCTGGGTTGAGTGAATCTTCTTTCATATCATAGAACTGATATAGACATAAGGACGAATAGTTTACCTAACTCACTGCGGTGAATTTTCCCTGCATTCCACATATAACGCTGTCAGGTATGACGTCGAAAGTGTTACTTTTGGTTGGTCATTTCCGAGTTTTGTCTGTTCTGGTGATGGTAGCCTAGTCTCTATATGCTCTAAATTTTCTACAACAATTTTTCATTTATTATAAATTGATTTTCACTGGTCGCGCAAATCTACAAAAAGGCTTTTTATACGGTACTTACTATATATGGTAATCGGTCTATTGAGAAAATTTAGTTTCTTTCTTTGATTTACTGAAAGATTTTTAACCATAGAAGAACATTAAAATTTGCAAGTCAGAAAGAACGCGTTTTTTCGCAATTTTTTTTTTTTTAATGCATTAATTTCCTAAATAAAAGTAATGAAATGTACAGAATTAAATGCTCTTTAATAATCGGTGAATCCTTTTGAAAAATGTCGGATTACCCTGTTCCCGCAGTCGATTTCCAGAAGGACCCCCGAACACAAGTTAACTGGCGGTGGAAAGATTTTTATGTTCAAAATTAACTGAAATCCAAAACATATTTTCACGACGGATGCCGACAATAGTCAGTAATAGTTTTTTTTATTTTATTTATTTTTTTTTTTATTTTAATGAGATGGAGTCTTTCCACAAACAAGTCGTTTTTTGTGAATATTTTCACACTTCAGGGAAGCTTACAGAATCGAAATGAATATCAAAAATCGTATCTCATTATTCAGATCCTGTCAAATATATCTAGAAATGTTGTGCGAAAATTTGACGCCAACCGGTTTAGCCGTTTAAGGGAAATTTCCTCACCAACACAGGAGAAGACACGATTAAATTTTTTTTGAGCCGATTACAGTAAGTTAGAATTGTTTAACAAATACGCTTATGTGTATCTAAGTAACTTCAACATCAAGTTTCGGGAGAATGCCTTAAAATATACGTAAATTATGGCAGAATGGCTTGATTTGCAGCGAACCAAAAAACCGGAGAAATCCCGTGTGCGGAAAATGTTCTACGGATCATTCTGAATAACTTTGCCATTCGAGATATCGTTGAAGACGTGCTTCGTTCTGGACGACTTTCCACCTCTTCAACCGATAAAAATATTAAAAACAAGTGAAGAATATTGTGCTTGAAAATCGTCAGGCAAGTGTTAAAAGGACGGCAAGAGAGCTTGACATCTCTCACGGGTCCGTTAAAATGATTTTGGTGAATATTTACTATCCGCTAATATCTGATGACTAAACAACACAAAATTTGCATTTCCCTGAAGTTTTTACATGAAACAGCAATCAAATGTGTCCATGAAGTGATTTATGTGCCCGTTTTGATTATCATTTATTTATCAGCGCTGAAAAAATGTAAAAAAAATATTATAATGTATGAAAATCAGATTATTTGCACTAGTTGTTATTTACGTTGCGGGAATTGAAATTGAAAGCTGTTACAAAATTCGCGCAAAGCATGAAAATCAAATTCAAAGTGCGGAATAAATTAAAAACAAATTGAAATATATTGCGATTTATTTGCATATATTAAAACGGCTTTCAATTGAAGGTCGGAATATCAAATGAAGTGCAAGAGATATAATTTACTAGGTGTTAGATTTTTGGCATTCAATTGATAGACGATTTTGAATGAGAAAAATATTTTTGTTTAATGAAAAATTAAAATGTGTGTGATAAGAATATTTAATGAATTTTCGAAGCCGTCCAAAACAATAAAGGTAAACACAGCTGGATTTTTAGTGTATTTCTTCATACTATATTTATTATTTTGGAAGACTTTGAAAATTCTTTAAATTTACTTTTCATACAAATTTTAATATTTTTGATATCTAAGTCGACTAGCTACCCACAATCGTTAGCAAATCTATTTACAAATAAAAATTACAACCAAACCTTTCTTCTTCTTCTTCTTAATTGGCGTAGACAYCGCTTACGCGATTATAGCCGAGTTAACAACAGCGCGCCAGTCGTTTCTTCTTTTCGCTACGTGGCGCCAATTGGATATTCCAAGCGTAGCCAGGTCCTTCTCCACTTGGTCCTTCCAACGGAGTGGAGGTCTTCCTCTTCCTCTGCTTCCCCCGGCGGGTACTGCATCGAGTTTCTTTTGATGAAACCAAACCTTTCACAAATAACTTTTTACCATGATTTTTTTTTTTACGCAAAATTCTCTAGCAAATGTTGCAATCAATCATTTACACTTACACCATCACATTTGCATGTGAAATGAGTAGACATTGTTTATTTACTGCTGCTCCCACATACATATACAAGCGACAACAACTCATTCGTAGCCACTTTATACGTTCGTATAAAAATTAATCACCGTCAATTTGCTAAACAACTGACCGCAATCAGCAGCAAATACAAATGAATAATTGTCGAATGATTCACATACAACAAAGGCATGCACACTCCTATTCTCACTCACCCAATCCAACAAGTCACTCGTTTAATTCGCCGCAATCACAACCAGCGTTCACCAATACAAACACACAGTGGAAATGGCACAGTTAAAATAATTGAAATTGAATAAACCTGATTTTGCGCTACAAATTCGAATGAGCGATAAACTCTCTCACGCACATACACATTCATACATATACATATACATCCGTACACATCTTCATGTACACAAATACATATTGTGTAACGGATTGAAAGCGCGTGGCAGCGGCAGCAATCTGCGTTGCCATTTTGAAAATGCATAAAACAAGTTTTAAACGGTTTATAAGGGCACAGCGTTGCGCACGCTGCTAGCTAATTATGAGCAATTGCATTATTTGATGGCAATGATTTGAGAAAATTTCTGTCAACAAATACATAATTTGTCAATATTTGCTAATTTTATGTAATATGAGCACGAAACAATGCAGAGGTTTGGTAAATTTTGTGAATTTCGGAGGAAAAACTTTGATTAAGCTGCAATGATAACGGTTATTCATTGAGATTTAAGATTTAAGATTTACGATTTAGTTTATCAAGAAGATCCAATCATGAAATGTTGAAAAGAAAAATTATTAAAAATTAAAGACTATAGATTATAGATTATAGATTATAAATTATAGATTATAGATTATAGATTATAGAT